TATATATATATATATATATATAACAAGCTAATGATTCATTCGTTGTAAAATGAAAATATTGATTGTAGTTTTCTTTATTTGGACCCTTCTAAAGTGCAATCTCCCACTTTGGAGCATAAAGAACATAATAATACATTATCTTTTTTAATATATTTTATATAGTAACATAAAAACTAAATGTTTAATTTTTTGTAACGTGTGAAAATGATTTTATTTCTTATATATAAATTCAGAAAGAATGCCGTTTTACATGGCAGATATGCTTATTTATTTATTTATTTTTGCTTAATGCGCACTTATGTTTATCTATTGTTGACTAAAAGTATAAAAGAAGGGGAAAAAAATGATGTGATTGGAGGGGTTGACTTCCCTTGGGATTTGGCTGCGCCTGGTTGTCCCATGTTGCGCTCTAGCAGATCCCATCCATGCTCAGGCCAACCATCATCCTTTAGTTTACTGCCTCATGTTAAACACTATCATTTTAGGTATCTTAATTTGTTTTAAAATAATAACATTATCAAAATTTTAAATATCAAAAAAATTGAGAACAATTAAAATATCAATTATGCTTTATAATTTTTGTACTTATTAATAGCACTTAAATACAAATCTATCATAAAAGTATTTTTGAAAAACTTTTCTTTAATGATAATTTTTTTAAACTTTTTTCTTTTACGAGGACTTTTTAAGAATTAAAAAAAAAGATCGCCTGTGCCTGATCCGTTACTTTGGCGTTATCATTATTAGTTTTAGCATTCTGTAACCACTGTGGAAGGGACGGTCGAGCTGACTCTGATTTGAGTTCAGTATCAAGCATTTCCAATAATGCAACTATAGGGTAGAATATGGTTTAACTCGTTCTTAGTGAATCCTACACAATCTCAGGTGAAATTTAAGTACTTCAAGTTTATTTTTTTTTCAATAATGTAATCTTCAAGAATTTAAAATTAATTTACAATTAACTCCCAATTTTTATAAAAAAAAAAATATTAAGAACGGTGAATTCTAATATAAATAGTGTCAGAAATAGTGAAATGTTGATTAAGAAGATTAAGCAGCTGTCTTAGAGATAGTAGCATATAATATATTATTTAAAAATAAAAAAAGAGAAGAAAAAAGAAAAAAGAGGTATGGCGAGTGGCGACGTGGTGGTGTCAGCGGAATCAGGTCTCTTATTTTGACACCTTTTAGATGAGACAGAAAAGAGCCCGAAACTACAGATGCCGCTGCCTTCAAATCAATCATCATTCAGCAACTGATTCCTTATACTTTATTCTTTACTTTTACCTCTGCCTATCCATCATTTTCCATCTCCACTTAAACTACCATTTTCTCCCCTCTTTTTATTTCTTTTATACGTACTCTTTTATTTTTTGTTTCTAAATTGTATGCAAAATTCATAAAAATATAACAATAATTTTTATCCTTTTATTCTCAAATTTAAAAAAAAAATCGAGGTAAAAAAATGAGAATTTTTTAACACCATTTATAAAATATATCAACTAAATAAAAAAGAAATCTTTTAATTTAAAGATTGATAATATTAATTTAAATAATTGAACACAATTAAAATGTATCTTAATGGTAAATATGCTATATCGAAATGTGTATTACACTATAAATTTAGTAGTTTAAAAAGAGTTCTTAAAAGCGGAGTCCATTTCCTTCTGTCAGCTTAAACTAAACCGCAAACTCTCTCCTATTCCTAGCCTTCTTATAATTAGGTTAATATATACTATCGTTCAACCACTCCAACTGAACCAATAGTTTATTACTACTAAATACTAGTAATAAATCATTAACATTGCATATCATTTATTATAAGAAAAATGCTGACATCACACTCCTAACACATTTTTTTACAGTTAGTTAAAATTATTAAAATAAATTACAAAAAGTCACTTAAATGTAAAATAAGACTCGCAATATTTTGTAATAAGAAAAATATATTAAAAAAAAGTTCGTGTTATCCATACTTATCTTATTATAAGATTGAGGAGAGATTATAGAATGTGACAAAGAGTGAAAGGGGGAAAACAGGAATTAATGCTCCCTTTTATTAATATAATGATCATTCTCAGTTTAATTAATAAATATACCTATTCTTACAAAAGGAAAAAAAAAACAATATAAAGTTTATAACGCAAAAATTAATTAATCTTTTTCTAAGGGAAAAAAAATTGACACCCCCGACAAGCCTTGTAACGGTTTTTCTTGGTTCTACTAAGCGGCTTTGACTTTTCCGTGCCAAAGTGTTTGTATTTACATTTCTACCACCAACAAAACGGATATGACCATTGAGCAGTGTTTGAAGTTTGAACACTATTCCGCCACCACTCTCACAGCAGCAGGCAGCCATTCTTGAGAGGCACAGCGATCGGAGTAGCCGTCGTCTTCGAGCCTAAACAGCATGGAAGACTCATCATGGTCATGTGTATTTGAATTCATATTCTTTTTCAGTTGGTGGAAACTGGGAACCAACACTTTGTCCATCCATTCATCAATGGTGGTTTGGCCCAACCACACTCCGCTGGTGATCTTGTCAAGAGCCTCCTCCTGCACTTCAATCGACACCCCATTCCCCACCACCGCCGAGAACCTCTTGGCGATGGAAGCGGAGAAATTTCGCCGAATGATATCAAAATTCAAGGGCTTGAAGACGATGGCATCGTCCACAGAATCCAACAGCTCGCGAGGTATTGCTGAGACATGGTGATTGTTGTCTTCATGTTCCACTGTGAAGTCGCTTGAATTGAGTGACCCATCTCCCCTGTCGTCCTCTGCATCATCAGCAGCTTCATTAAGATCAAACGACAACCCTGAATTGGCCTCCTTCCGGGGCTTCAAGGACCTGTCTTCATCGGATAGCCAACTGGGTCTTCGTTTTGATGCTCTCTTACCCACTGATATGCGCAGTTGCCACCCTCCTTTCGCTAAATTTTCAAGCTTTTCTTCGTTCAGTGGAGACCCGTTGGAAAGGTATCTGAGGTCCTCCGGCAACCAATTAGCAGTGAGGATAAACATGACATTTCCAAGACTGATTTCACGGCCGTGAGAATCCGGGAACCGCCCTTGTTCCATGGCTCTTCTTATGCTACCGCGAAGAAGGATATTGGCTTCATCAATGTCCTCGAGCACGATGACAGCAAGTGGGTTCCTTCTGATGGCCTCTGCTATTCGATCGAGTGCCGTTTTTCCACGGAGATGAGGGGCATCAGAGTCTCCTCCCTCCCCGCGGCGTTGGGCCAGAGGTACTATTATTGGGTTGGACCCAGATACCAGCTCAGAAAGAGCTGCTGCCATTTTCTTCTTGCCAATTCTGTCAGGGCCCACGAACAGTAACCACGTGTCACCCTTGGATCGTCTTTTTCCATTCCCCAGTTTGCATTGGGTCACTGTGGTGGCCACTGCTGACGCTGCATCCTGCTGCCACCACACCTTTTCTGTCAGGCCTTTCAGGAGCTTCTTGAATGAGTCCGCATCGAGTAGTTTTTTGCTCTGCAATTCATCGAACTTGTCTTGTGACTCAGAAGAGAGGCAGCTCAAGAAGTCATTAATGCTTTCTTTGTGTGTTTCTTCAGCAGCCTTTGTTTGCCCAAGGACCAGGTCGGTTGTTACTGGACTTTGCTGCTGGCTCACTACAGGCTCTGGTGGGTGGATGGACATTGGATTTGAGCTCAATTGCAAAGAGGTTCCTAAGTTTTTATTCAGAGGTATTTTGGGTTGGAATTGGCGCCCCAGCAAGTTCACATTGTACAGGCCCGTCATTGACAAAGGAGTTGGATTAAGCCTCTCTGTGCTCCCATTTAGCTGATGAAATTTAGGATGTAAACTCGAGCAGGCATCAAGCCATTTCTTCTGTATTTCTTGAGTCCTCTTCTTCACATTCCCTTCCTGGTTGTTACTCTATTAAATGACAAAGGAATACAACAGTTACAAGAAATGTATTTTCAAAGAAACCCACCAAACAACAAATGCAATTATTTTTATCAAATTCACCTGTGCCTGATCCGTTACTTTGGCGTTATCATTATTAGTTTTAGCATTCTGTAACCACTGTGGAAGGGACGGTCGAGCTGACTCTGATTTGAGTTCAGTATCAGGTTTCTCAGTTTCTTTCAACATTTCTGCCACTTCTTGCTCGCAGCTCTGCATACATTGTGGACAACAAATTGATGCCGCAGCAGGATCTATATTCTCAGAGGCACGCCTCAGTGGAGTGATTGTCGTAGTGGGCAAGTTCTTCAACGGGGACAAAGACTCCAGCGAAGAACCCAGAATACCATTGGTCCCAAGCCTGGTTTATTTACAAGTAAAAAAAAATTGATCACACTCACAAACACGATAATACAATACCAAATGCCGGGGACACAATAACCATGTTCCAGATCAGAGGCTAATCAAGCAAACAGTGGAAAGGTAGACAAAAAGCTTTATTCAAATATTATATTATAAATTTTAGTTATATAATAATATTGTGTACCCACATTGGTGAGATATTGTCCGCTTTGAGTTCAAGCCCTCACAATTTTATTTTTGAACATCATCCAAAAGATCTCTCAACAAATTGAGATAATTGTGTGTATATAAACTCATATTTATCCTCTTGTTTGAACGATGTGAAATTTTGTTTGCACCCCAACAAATAAATATATAACTAAAAAGGACATATTATTATTTTTTTGTTAAAAAGGACATATTATTATAATAATTTGCACAACTAATAATTTGTATAAAAAAAATAGTTAATATGAGGCAGAGTTAGTAAGAAAACATGAATCCGCCGGCACATGCGGATCAGCGTTCTCCTTCCCCTGTAATTTTGCAAGCCTCTATTTGTAGGTGTAGCTGCACGATACCCTTCAATTATGAATACCCTTCATCATTATTATTATTATATATTTCTCAGGGCTTTGGTTGGAGCTCGTGCATGCTAGTGTTCATTTGTTTTCCAAACTTCACCTTTTTTGACAATTTGGTTTTCTTCAAGTATCTGAGGTAACTCCTAACGTTTGACAAATCCACACATGAGACAAAAGAAGTAGTTAATAATTAGGAGCAAGCTTGACTATATTACTCAGTTCAAGGATCTTTTTATCTCTGCCTCCAATCCAAATATTGTTCATTTTTATTCAACCATTTCCAAACTTTTTCATCTCTAACGACCTAAGATCTTGACTCTTTTTTTTTTATCATTTCTTCGACTCACGCCACGGACATGTCAGCGAGTTTTATTGCAGTTGGATATTTTGAACATCATCATATTCATATAGGATATTTTGAACATCATCATATTCATATAGTTATAATTCAACGTTTGAAGTGAAAACCAGAGTCACAAAAGAGCTGCTGTGCCACGTGTCGACACAATATTATCAAGTTCGTAATTACGGGAATATAACCAAATGTGTAGAGCCAAGCCCAAGGCAACTAGTGTCCCCGTAAGACATATTGTACTTTTGTATGACTCAGCAACTACTTCAATAATAATAATAATATAATACCAAAATGAAGTGACCGGTGACATTACGAAAATGTCTTTGATGTTATGTTTGGTACATTGCATATATACACCATACATTTATATTATACGAAAATGCATCATCTCCATTTCTTTTTCTTTTCATTTTTTTTAACTTTTGAAAAATTAAAATTAAATTAAATTAATGAAGTTGATATGTATCTTAAACAGTGTGACATTTATACTTTACTCACATTGTAATCATGATTATCTTGTTGTTTACGGTGGAATTAAGTTTTATGGACTCTTTTTATTTAGACTAGCACGAAAAACGTTTCAATTTAGATATGTGATGTTTCTGAGTTTTAGTCTTATAAAACGAGAAGAGGAGTAATAGGAAAATTTAGTGATTACTTGTTTCTAAAGATTCTTCAATAATTAACAAGCAATAATTTCCAGACATATAAATGTAAAGATGAACAGGATGAATAATTGAGATATTTGCAATACAAATCATGGTTCAACTTACATAACGTTCCAGAATTACAATGCTGAAGTAATACAACTACGTGGGTTTAAACGAGATAAACTAAGAAAACTACGCTAATTCTACTCCTAAAAAGCAAAGAAAAGTGGTCAAGAAATTGATACCCAGCAGATGCGTGCACGAAAGCCATATGCGCAGGCAGAGAGTGCTTACAGAAATGTGAGTATGAAATTTCCGACCCCTTGAAAGTACATATTTCTTCGTATTTATAGAGTCAAATGAAGGTGGTTAATTTTAGTGCATGTGCGTCATGGAAAGGTAACCGCCATCCACTATGCCCAATAGGTGGTTTTAGAATGTAACCTCTCGTAACCGCTCGTTCCACTCTTTTTCTTTTCACTTCGATCCATTTTCCGTTAACCGTTCTGAGATAACTACTCACTACTTGGAAACCTTCAGTAATTTCCATCTTTCGAGCACTTCTCGGTTTGATTCGACTCATTTTTTCGACTATATTTTGAATACGGACAGCTTGAGCTTTTGATACTTCCTGAAACTCCTGAATGTGCTTTTCGAGTTACCTGGTCTTCGAGTGATCCTAACACTTGTATATTTACACAACCCTATTCATAAGACAGAAATGTGTCGCACTATAGAAAAACTATTCTTGTCCATCGAGAAAGGAAGAGGGTTAATTTAGATAAAACGAAAGGCTATCATCAATTGTATCGCATTAACAAAATAATTAAGAAAAACTATACCCATTGAAATATAAGTACGTACATAGTTAATGTTGATTCAAATACACATTCGCATATGTATTAGATAATTTTTTTCTAAACCATCGATAAAACTGGATGTAGATTATTGTAGTAGCACCTTTTTAATTAATATGAACAAATCTCTTATATAATTTTTTTTTAATTTTGGGCTCTCTTGATTAGCGGATAATAGTTTTAAGTGTGTAAATTTATTATATCTCACTTAAGTAAGTAAAGAGAGATAATAATAGGGTAGAGAGTATGACTCATTTTTTTGAGAGAAAATAATAACAAAATACAAAAAAGAAGAGAATAGATAAAGTTTTGTTATTCAAATCACATATTCATTAAACAACGTCTACTAAATTGTAACCAAAGATTTGTTTGTTGTTAGATCAGATTGTTTTTTTGAAAACAAATTCATATAATATGGCATTTTATATTCAACGATTGGATCATCAAAAATAAGTTTAGAGAATCGCAATAACAATTTTGTTTACGGGTTTTTTTTATCTTTATTTATTAATTATAAACAATTGTGTTCATTTTTTTTTTATTGATTGTAAGCACTGTTTTTTTTTTAGATTCTCTTGTATTTTTTGTTGCTTTGTTGATGATGAAGTTTTTTTTTTTATTTGGACGGCTCATGATTTTTAAATTTATATTAAGGAATTTTTTACGTTAAATTTTTTTTATGTCTCTTCATGTTTAAATTACCTGTTTTATTTTATTTTATTGATGAGATGCCTTGAATTTATAATTTTGTCCATTACTATTTTCACTATTATTTGGGTTGTAATGAGACTGTTATATTTTATCCTTGTTATAAGGCTAAAAGGAATCTGTATCAGATATCCCTATTCATTTCAGAAATAAGAAACTCTTGAATTGCCCGTGGATGTAGGTCACACTGACTGAACCACGTAATTTGTGTGTCATCTTCTTTCTCTTCTCTTTCTTTTACATATTGTCATAACAATTGGTATCAGAGCTCTAGGTTACGCTAGGGCCTGATCTGAAGAAACGCAATGTCTTCGTACAAACTTGATATTGATAAATTCAATGGATTGAATGATTTCACTTTGTGAAAATTGAAGATGAAAGTGGTTCTTGTGCATCAGGGTTGCGCTGCAGCAGTAGAGGGTGCGAATAAATTACCCATAACTATGACTGATGATGAAAAGAAAGCGATGTTGGAAAAGGCGCACAGTTTGATTCTCTTGAGTTTGACTGATGAGGTTCTGCGAGAGGTAGGTGAAGAGACAACGGCTGCAGGGATGTGGAAGATGTTGAAAGATAAATTCCAGCAGAAATCCCTAACCAATCGGTTGTATCAGAAGCAACGTCTCTATACCTTGCAGATGTCTGAGAATATGTCTGTGAGAGATCATCTTGATAATTTTAACCGAATTATCTTGGACCTACAGAGTATTGGAGTTAAAGTTGATGATGAGGATCTAGCTATTATTTTGTTATGCTCTCTGCCAAAATCATATGAGAATTTTATTGATACTATGTTGTATGGCAGGGATAGTATTACTCTCAACAATGTGAAGGACAGCTTACAATCTAAAGAATTGAAGAGAAGAGTAGTCTTTAGTTCTAATGTGGATGATGTAGGTCTGACAGTTAATTAGCAGAGGCAGAAGCATGGAGAGAGGAAATAGTAGCAAGGGTCATACACGCAGTAATTCACTTTCAAAGTCAAAGAAAGTGAGATGTTACAAATGCAAAGAGGTGGGGCACATAAGGAAGAATTGTCCACAACTGAAGAAAGATAGAAATAGTATTACTCTCAACAATGTGAAGGACAGCTTACAATCTAAAGAATTGAAGAGAAGAATAGTCTCTAGTTCTAATGTGGATGATGTAGGTCTGACAGTTAATTAGCAGAGGCAGAAGCATGGAGAGAGGAAATAGTAGCAAGGGTCATACACGCAGTAATTCACTTTCAAAGTCAAAGAAAGTGAGATGTTACAAATGCAAAGAGGTGGGGCACATAAGGAAGAATTGTCCACAACTGAAGAAAGATAGAAATAGTATTACTCTCAACAATGTGAAGGACAGCTTACAATCTAAAGAATTGAAGAGAAGAGTAGTCTTTAGTTCTAATGTGGATGATGTAGGTCTGACAGTTAATTAGCAGAGGCAGAAGCATGGAGAGAGGAAATAGTAGCAAGGGTCATACACGCAGTAATTCACTTTCAAAGTCAAAGAAAGTGAGATGTTACAAATGCAAAGAGGTGGGGCACATAAGGAAGAATTGTCCACAACTGAAGAAAGATAGAAATAGTATTACTCTCAACAATGTGAAGGACAGCTTACAATCTAAAGAATTGAAGAGAAGAATAGTCTCTAGTTCTAATGTGGATGATGTAGGTCTGACAGTTAATTAGCAGAGGCAGAAGCATGGAGAGAGGAAATAGTAGTAAGGGTCATACACGCAGTAATTCACTTTCAAAGTCAAAAAAAGTGAGATGTTACAAATGCAAAGAGGTGGGGCACATAAGGAAGAATTGTCCACAACTGAAGAAAGATAGAAATAGTAACGCCAGTGCAGCTGTTGTTCGTTCTAGTGCAACTGTCTCTA